CGAGTCTATTATGGAAAAATCAAATCCGATTACTAACGAAAATTTTCGTTCTCAAAATTTTTTGCAACAGACATAAAAATGCTTCCCAACCACGTGCAAGATTATATGCTAAATACGCAAAGTGGAAAAATAAAACGCGAGCAAAACACGCCAAATATACAGCATGAAAAGTGAGATTTGTGACGCTGATTTGGAAGTTGGAAGACTGAATTAATTTTTAAATCAAAAGAATTTTGATTGCAGAATGATATACCACAAAATATGGCGACAGCAAATAGACAGCAAGTATATTTGACTATACAAACCGCTCTTATTGTAATAAAAATTATTGGTTATGCAAACATCATGGTTGCTGATGCCAATGATGCAAATACAGGCATATTCGCGTATAAAAGTTTCGTATGAGTCGACTTGTAGCATGCGTCAATATTCGGTCCATTCAATATCAGTACATTTGGAACCACGTAAATTCTGGATACTAACCATTTATACTTGCACTAGCTCTGCTATGATTTGTTTGTGTTATACAGTAAATTGTATTTAATAAATGTATTTATATTTTAGACTATTCTGTATCAATATGATAAATATACGATTCAATTTTAGCGCATACAGTATTTTTACAACATTAGGATTAACACTCGGTCAATGTGCCCGTTAAGTAACGCGCATACAGAACTTATTGACCGAGTAACATTAGGAATCACGATAATGAGTAATATCCTGTATACAGTATTCTGGACTGGCAAAATTTTTATACATTTTGGGCACGACCAAATCACCATCACGTTATTGTGACATCTATCACGATTTTTTGAAGGCCCGCTTATCCTTGTGTGTAACTATTTTTAAATTTAGAATTAAGTTTAAATTTAAGTTTGAAACGAATATTTGTCAGTGAATTAATCGCAAGTTATGTGATCGGTGCGGTGTTGGCAACACACAAACCATTCATTCACGTCTATCATTTCATTATTAACCGACACATATTATACGTTCACGTTGGAAAACACACGAGTTCGAATTAATTCTCACCATGTAGCACAAGCAAATATAAAGTGACTCTGCGAAAATAATTATCAAAAATTTTGCTTCAAAACAATGTCGTTAGTTTCAGAGACTCGTGGTGCAATTGACGTGTTGATTCGATCCTTAGAAATATATGGACTTGAATGGGTTTCTGACAAGGAAATTACCAATATAAAGCCAACTCAAATTAACAAGGTCTACAATGCTATAGCCTTTCCTGACCCGATAACTTTGGTATTACTTGGAAGTAGCGAAGAATGTACACCAACACTTTTGAGTGCGTTTGCCAGAATATACTCACTACCTATTCGGGCACTCAAGCGCAACAACAATGGGAATAACTTTAAAAGATACAAAAGATGGCTCCACCGTCGCAACGAGTCTATAATAGGATTCACGAAGCACGACGACAAGTATTACATGGTTGCTAGTAGCCACTTTTACCATTATCACTGTCGATATGGGTTCTGTTCCGAATGTGGTATACTCCGATGTAGTCCAGTGTGGTGCGTATGTGGACATCAACAATTATCCGATGGATGGAGTAGCAACAATAAGCAACTCGATGCGTTTATTAAAAAGACTCAATTACAAACAAACTCACCAAATCAGGCCTACTGGGAATGGATTCCATTTGATTGTATTGATGAAGACCTAGGTGATGTATTCTTGGATGGTCTACCGACTCGTGAATCTATGAAATTGGTTCCACTCGAGACGGATGATTTATATGATAACAGGGTGACTATCAAATACGAATATGATATGTTTATCCAACGTTTGGACAAAAAGTGACTTACAATTATAATTTATTTCCACTAGTTATGCGATAAGCATCCAGATATTCTTAGCACGGATATTTGGGCTCCCACCATCGGATTCACATACTGCCGAGGGAAGTATTGGCTAATAGAGACACGTTTTAATAATGAATTATGTCTGGCGTGTACACGTCACTTGGAACCCAATATATATGCGTTCTGCTTCGAGTGTAAATCACCATCACCTCCTGATTGGACTACAGGCAACAAGTCATTGGATGCATTTATTATGGAATCATGGTGTCATACAATTAACGTGTATGATGCGTATATACAATCGATTGCATACTGTTATTTGGCAAACGTGCAACAGATGACATCGTTACGCCATGGATGCACACATATGGCATATTGGTTAGAACCGACGACAAATAAATGGGCAAGTGTTATACTCAAAAAAATAGCTATTGAACAAAAGGATCAAGAATTATTTGATTTTCATCGGGTAAAGTATTTCACGCGTAAATACAAATAATATTAGTAACGTGTGTGTCGATTATTAGTGTTGTTGTAATAATGGTGACCTTGTTTGTTTGCTCAAAATAGCTTACTGAAGAATATCCAACGATATTAACACCCGAAAATATTTGGGTCACTGGGATCACTTGGGAGCCATCGACTCGCGAATATTATTTGGTTTTCTACTACGACGCACGTCCAATATTAGATATACTTATGCAACATATCGGACATTTAAAATACATGCGGTATAGTGACTTTTACGAACTCAAAGAGACCGGGTCTGATTGTTATGGGACAGTCTATGCTGCCAAATATAGAAATTTTTCAGAATTATGGCGTGGGCCAGAAATTATTACCCTGAAACGTTTCAAGAGGTTTGACCAAGCACGGGATTTATTTATTTCCGAGGTAAGCAATAGTAATGATTAGTAGCATTGATGAAGTGACATTTGATCTGACCTTGTATATCTTTAATAGTTCAGAAATTATGCCAAGTGCATAACCCCCGCGTATGATTCATTCCTTTTTCTTTATGGATACACACAAGACCCAGAAACACAAGAGTACATGATTGTTATGCAATATGCCAACAATGGTAGTCTTTCGTCTTATTTGGATCAAAATATTAACAAATTGACGTGGAAAAAGAAAATGGAGTATTTGATGGATATTGCACATAATCTGAAATTAATTCATGATATAGAATTAGTGCACTGTGATCTGCATGGCGGCAACATACTTTTTCATGATGCAGATAATGCGTCTGACTTTAGATCATACATATGCGGTCTTGGCCTTTCCCAATCGGTCAATTCAAACGAACGCAATTCAACCATTCGAGGTGTTTTACCCTTTGTTGCACCCGAAGTCTTTCGTACTCGTAAATTCACTCGGAAATCAGACATATATTCTTTTGGTATTATTGTGTATTTGATGGCCACCGGTGAACCACCTTTCAGAGATAGGCAGTTCGATGGAGATTTGATGTGTGATATTATGCGTGGATTACGACCATCGATGCCTGATTCCGCACCAGAGGAATACAAGAGTCTGGCAGAGATGTGTTGTGATGCTGATCCTGATGAGCGTCCAGCAGATGGAGATCAACTTTGGACTAGTTTGTGCATTCTAATCAAAGAGATGGACCTCTTCAAGTCTGACGACAGCGTGTGGAATGCTATTTATCATCATGATGTAAAACCCCTATCACATCTTGAGAAGGAATGTAAATATTCTAGCAAGATCTTACTCACTGGAGATTCATCCAAAACGACAAACACATAAGAATTGGTTACATGTTGACATTAAGAGAAAGTCAATTTATAAATATTACATCTTAAAATAAAGCTCGTGTGTCAAGTAAGATACGTGTTCGAGTTTTCAAGTGTAAACAGCAATTACTAACGATACAGCCATTATACACTTTAATGCGTACCTGCATGTAGGCGCTTGAGAGTTCTGAATCATCGATCGCCCAGAGAATTAGCGGAAACCGTTTCGCCCCTCTCCTCTCACTGTCGGCAAACTGGCCATATCCAAACAAACAGACCATCATCCTGTCAAATAAAGAGTTCCATCCATGTTTCCAGACCTCGCTCCGTTGGTCAATGAAAACGCGACAGGCAAGCAAATTCATCATTCACGACGCGTTCTAGGAGGATAAGAATTCAAGAACTACCGAATCGACATCCCATCACCGGGCAAGTTGAATAACGACGTATGACAGCAAGTCTCTGGGAATAAGAAGCATTGTTTCGAGCGGTTTTCGCCGACTTTAGGATAGACTGAAATCATACGATTGTGGGATTTCTGGCAGTGTTCAAACATGGGGGTCTTTGAGATTATATTTTGTGAATTCTCTATGCGAAAGTAAAAAATAACCACCGAGATTTCTTGATCCAACTCGTTGGACGATGCATTAGCTCGATGTAAACGCCTAGATTGGTCCGAATCCTTCCTCTTAACGGCTACGTCAGTGTCCTTTCCGAAGCCCAACTGTGGGGGGGGGTGAATCTCTGTCATGCAACAGATAACTTTCTCGAATATGTTGGCTTATGCTTTATCAGCTTTGAAAATTCATGCCAGGAGAACGAAATGCCGTTTAAGGTTCAGTCACGCGAATTTTGGTCAATACCAAATTGCTGTACGCGAATAAACAGTCCATGAGTAAGTAATCGCTATTGATACAAACCTGAAAGGCAATTTCAAATTTGAAAGTGCTGGTCGAGTATTTTTAATCAAAAGCCCCGCTACCAAGTATTTATATTTTGTAGTGAATAAAATATTAATCAGTCACGTGTAACTCATACTAATACTTGTATAAATGCTTGCTTCCATATATGTCATATGTACAAAAGTTGTGTGGTGGATATTAATCAATTTTGAGCTCGTACCACGTCCTTATTCTAGTGATTGCAAACGACGACGACCTTGCAGTCAGAGCGCAAGACTATGATGATATCGGCGTATGTTGTAGATTCTCCACCACTCGCCATTCATTCGAAATAAAAAATTCATTTTTCTTTTCTTTTTATACCGGCAATCTTTATTAACTTTGCGTATATAACGTACCAGCGTAATTTTGAGGATCAACTATATAGTAAATCGCTAAATAAAAAATTTTTTTTTCTCTCTTCATACCGGAGAGATCATGTGATTATAATAAAAATTACTTATTTGAAACTGGCATCATTTCTTGGACGCTTTGGCAGCAGCTTTGGTGGTCTTGCCAGATTTTTCGACTTTCTCAACTCCCTGTAATTACAAGCAGATTTTTAAATTAGCAAGTCTGGCAGATAATATAATACAGAAAATATATACATATATATATATTTCGTTTACACTGACCTTAATGACACCGACAGCGACCGTCTGTCTCATATCTCTCACGGCGAAACGACCAAGTGGTGGATAATCAGAAAAGGCTTCAACACACATGGGTTTGGACGGAATCATTTTTACAATGGCGGCATCACCAGATTTGACGAATTTCGGATTATCTTCCAATTTCTTGCCGGTACGACGATCGATCTTCTCTTGGAGCTCGGCGAATTTGCAAGCAATGTGTGCAGTGTGACAGTCTAATACAGGGGCATAACCAGCACCGATCTGACCAGGATGGTTGAGTACAATAACCTGAGCCAAGAACGAACCGGCTTCTTTGGCGGGGTCGTTTTTAGAGTCGGAGCAGACATATCCTCTACGGATTTCTTTAACAGAGACGTTCTTGACGTTGAAACCGACGTTGTCTCCGGGTACACCTTCGGCCAATTGTTCGTGATGCATTTCGACGGACTTGACTTCAGTTGTGAGACCAACGGGCGCGAAAGTAACTACCATACCAGCTTTGATGATACCAGTTTCGACACGACCCACAGGTACAGTTCCGATACCACCAATCTTGTACACGTCCTGGAGTGGAAGACGAAGAGGCTTGTCCGTAGGTCTTGTCGGAGGTTCGATAGAGTCGATGGCCTCCAACAATGTCTTACCCTTGGAAGCACCGGCCTTGGTTTCTTTTGTCCATCCCTTGAACCAAGGCATATTAGATGACTCTTCCAACATATTGTCACCATGCCATCCTGAGATGGGGACGAAAGCCACGGTCTTGGGGTTATATCCGACACGTTTGATAAAGTTGGTAACTTCTTTGCAGATTTCGTTGAATCGCTCCTCGGACCACTTGGCAGTGTCCATCTTATTGACCGCAACGATGAGTTGTTTGACACCAAGTGTGTAGGCTAAAAGAGCGTGTTCACGGGTTTGACCGTCTTTGGAGATACCGGCTTCGAATTCACCAGTACCGGCAGCGATAATCAAGATGGCGCAGTCAGCCTAATTGTGAAGGGGGGAAAAAGAAAGAAAAAAAAAAAAAGAAAACGAGTTAATCTCATATTGATGATTCTCATCAATGTCAATGCTTATTTGCTTTATGTGTGTGTGTTGCTGTTTAGTCGGTTGGTTGGTTGTTTGTTTGTTTGTTTGTTTTTCTTTACCTGAGATGTTCCTGTAATCATGTTCTTGATAAAATCACGATGCCCTGGAGCGTCAATGACTGTGACATAATATTTGGGGGTTTCGAATTTCCATAGAGCAATATCGATTGTGATACCACGTTCACGCTCGGCTTTGAGTTTGTCCAAGACCCAGGCATATTTGAATGAACCTTTTCCTAGTTCAGCGGCTTCTTTTCTGTTGGATAAAAATTGAAGAGGGAGGGGGTTGGTAAAAGTTATAATGGCAAAAGTTATAATTTGCTATACGAGTAATGTTTGATATAGTAATATCGAGAATGATATGCGAATACATACTCGAATTTCTCTATTGTTCGTTTATCGATACCCTATTTCAACAGACCAGGAATAAGAGAAAACGCGAACGAACAGACTTGATAAGGATATCGCAATACACATAGGAAGGAAAACAAAAAAGACAGTTCGTTCATACCCCGCATTTGTAAATAAGATGTCCTGTTGTTGTTGACTTGCCAGAGTCGACGTGTCCAATGACGACGACGTTAATGTGAGTTTTTTCTTTACCCATGTCGCTATGAACTGTGAATATACAAACAAACGCAAAAACCCAGTATTTAGCAACTGTTAACAAACGAGAAAATCTTTTTTATTAGCGGTAACTATGTAGCTTTTTTCCCCCTTGTTTATGCCTTTCTCTATTCTGACAGTTGTTGAAAAAAATTTTACTGCGGTCGAATCATCAGTATGTTCTCCACAATAAAAAAGAGAAAGACGGCAAGGCTTTTACTTTCTATTCTATCCGGCCAAGAGTACTTGTTCGTGTGAAGATAGATGTTTGGATGGATGATTCCTTTGTGGATGGAGTTGATACTTACATTATATAACTATAAGCATAAAATACGTGGAGGGAGTCGTTACAAAGAAAGGACCGGCGAAAGAGAAGGAGGTCAGGAATCGCGATGATGGGCAATAAATACTGTTCAGATGTGTACCCCTTTTTGTGATAAATATAAGGGGTGCCAATCGATTAAGGGTGGCAAAAATACTCAGGAGTGGGGGGGTTTTATTACGGTAAAGAGGGAAAAAAATTTTTTTTGCCTGATCAGTTTGACAATCATCACGGAGTTTGGGTGGATGTGAGTCATACAAATTAAAATGGGACGAGCCTAACTGAAATAATGCGTTTTTGCTATATTTAATATTTTTTTATACCGTTATTAAGTTGCCTGACAATAAAAATAATAAGGACTCTCTTTTCTTACAAGCTTAATATACTACAATTATTACATAAACATTGTTCCTCCGCATTCTTGTTCATTTGAATCACTGTGCCTCTGTACCCAAGACCACAAAAGAATGTATTGTTACACTGATTATGATGATAGGTTAAAGGTCCCATACGACTTTTTTTCCAACGAAAGCCCAAAGATTTCCGGATTGATGCGTAGTCACCCGCAAATGCTGCGGATGCAATACTTTACCATAAATGGATATTAATTGATGACTATAACACAATTCGATTTTATTCATACATTATGGATTTGGATAGGGAAATATAGCCCTTCCGTTTTTGTAAGTTTATTGGGCAGCCCCCTTACTGGACCTGAATGCCTCTTTTTCACGCGTTTAATATTATAATCAGTGACATAGTCAGAGAGAGCACCAACCGCTTGATAAAGTATCTGACCAAATTGTTCCTAACATAATAAATAGATTTGATTATAAACAAGTTTTTGTTCAAAATCCCAGGAAACCCTTGCCAACAACACAATCTATTATTTACCATTTCTCCTTCCTCCTTTGAGAACGGTTCCAACACATATTTAGCTGCTGACGTACCGTACGGTCTCCCAATACCCAATCTGATTCTATGAAATATTAGATTCGTTATAAACATCAGACTTTTTTTTTTATATGCATCGATCTCATTGATTTGATTTAAGGGGGTTCTCTCACCTTACAAATTCTACGCTACCCAATGCGCTTGCTACACTTGATATTCCTTGATGGCCTCTCAATACGCCCAGAGAACCTGCATCTCCAACTACACGGAAAATAGTAATTGTATCCTTAACCTTTTCCCCCTCTCTTCTCAAGGTTTAACCGTCAACATTACAACCAGCTCACCCTGAATCGCAAGTGTTGCGGGCGGAGTGTTGAAATCGTCCGCAACTACAATCAGCTTTTTCATATCAGTGAATTTATAACTTTTCAATACTTTCTTCACGGCAATTCCGGAATCGTTCATGCCTGTTAATGGCTTTACTAGAAGAACTCTAAAAGAATTCTAAACCAAAATATAAGATTATCAGGTTATCGAACTAGTACTGGATTGGAGCATCAAAGATTCTGTTCACGCACAGTGACTGAAGACGAACTAGTTGTGTAATTCGTCCTAAGCACAGTTTCCCTCACATCAGCTGTAAATTACAAAATAAGAGGCACAACAATTATGGCTGTGAACTATCATTTAGACATGCGGTGGGAGGCGCAACTACAATACCTTGCAAACCGAGTCGTCTGTAAAACACTGGATCTCCCTCCTCCTTCTCTGCCATTCGATTTGCGAGGTAATCGATAAAAATGAACCCGGCTATACAAAAAAACATCCGTCAACGTCCATAACATTATAAAGTCAAAGTGAAACTAACTTTTAATAATTCACGAAATAGACCATTATGCCGTGTCAGAGCATACTCTTTCCCCACGTTGCCTAATCCAACAATAACCAAGTCTACTTCACTTGACATTAATGCTAAAGAGTTAAACGTGAAAGGGGTTTTTAAATCTACAAGTGGTTCAAGTTTGGGACAATAATAAGCATACAAGCCACCGAAAAATATCAGTGACGCAAATTATTATTACGACTAAGCTTTGTTCCCACACATTCTGCACACGTTCATTCGCACAAATCAATTCCTATATAAAGCAAAGCATGCATCCGATGCGCCCTGGTAGAAGCAGGGGCAATGAGCAGGCTTTTCATTGTACATAAAATCGTGACAATGGTATATTTTGTTTGATTCCTTGTTATGACTAACACTAATGCTAACATCGCATCTGATGCATTTCTGCGCGCGCGGAAGAACTGATGTTTAAAAGTTTTAACAGTCGTACACACAATCGCAGGTTTTGTTGAAATTGCAGTTAGCCAGTAAAGACTTGGCAATAGTAATAGAGTATGAGACGGTCTTTAACAAAAAAGTTGGAAAGCCAGTCGCAATAACCATTTGGTATATAACACATTTCCTGTTGTTTTTGTTCATTCTAAGCACGCGACATTTATTATTAGTACAATGTTCGCCAAGCAGAAAAAACCAATCCAATCCAATCAATAAATGACTTGTGATTTCACGCTATCCATAATCTTCATAACAGTATTCCGATACCCCTCCTAACTATATTAAAGTCAAAAAATACGGTGCGCAATTTGACTGATTACGCGACGAACAGCCGCCAAGTCTTCTGCTTTAACTTCGAGTTCATCGGCATTCTGCTCGAGAAATAGTAATGACTTCTTAAGAGCATCTTCACCCTCTTTCAAGGAAATTCTTTCGTTGCGCCTTCCGTCTTCCGTATTAAACGTATGCTCATCCTCTACCTTGGCTTTTGTAATAGTGGCACCGTTAAAAACACCTTCTGAAGGCAGAGTAGAATAAATGAGATAATTCTGGTTGCTTGATGAGACAGCGAATGGTGTGGCTGTCTGCTTCGGGTCGATCGATGGGACCGCGAACGGAGTACTTGGTTGTGAAGTTTGTGGTTGTGAGGATTGCCCATGTTTGGTTGGGGTGCAAAGAAGATCTAGAAGCGATTTATTGAGTGCTGTTGTAGATGTAGATGATGGGATCACAGAACCGGGCGGTGGTGAGGCAGACTGAGGCGTGTGTATAGAATGTATTGCTTGGGTAACGGATGAATTAAATTTCATCTACAAAAATTGCTGCACGTGTTAGAAAAGGGTTGGAGGAGACTTGCAAAGGAGAAAGTGTTCGATTTTGTTCCACATAATAATATTCCACGTTTTCGCTTACATTTATCGGCGGGGTCTGCCCTGAGGTCTGTGTTCCTTCTGCAGCACTAGCAAACAATGCGTCTAACAGTTCCTTCCCTGAAGTTGTGGTTCCCGTTTGTGAATTCGTATTTGTAGATGTGGAATCGTTCTCTTGGATTTTTGCATGTTTAAATAAATCATGAATATCAATTGGTTTTCCATATTGCGTATTTTGTGAAGATGACGGAGAGGAAGATATTGGTTGGTGAAGTTGGTGAAGTTGGTGAAGTAATTGCTGATGCTGTTGCTGTTGCTGTTCTTGTTGTAGCTGCTGCTGCTGCTGCTGCTGTTGTTGTTGTTGTTGTAGTTGCTGTTGTTGCTGTTGTTGTAGCTGCTGCTGTTGCTGTTGTTGTTGACGTTTAGTCAATCGTGGTTTTGGTACAGGCGTTAGCTCACCATGGAGAATAATTGGTGATTGCGCTAGCTGCGGTGGTGGAACGATTGTTTTATGCAATTTGCAGCATCTAGCAAACAAAAGCAAGAAATATTTTGTTAATTGTGAATGATAATTTTTCGGGGAGAAAAACCAGTATTATCAAATCTGAACCTTCCTTGCTTTCCTCTCCCCACATTCTCTTATTCTTTCCTCAAAAAACCCACTTTGTTTTTACCATACTTACTCCATCATCAACTTTCCAATCCTTTCTCGATCCTTCGCTTCATAAACCCATATGCCATGTATATCATCTACCGTCCAAACAAAGCTCAAACACAGTCACTTTGCTATTTCCCAATTCAAACAACTTTCACTCGCTTATTTGGTTCATACTGTACCATCATCGGTACGATAGATGATGTAATCATCCTGGAACTCGATGTCCATTTTATCGGTTAGGTGGAGCATTACGTTGTCAATTCCGAGACGATTCATTACGACAAACCCGAATACAGGTTGTGTACATCTAAGTAAATATAGTAAAGAGATTTGTAAAAATCTCATGAGAGTAAAAAATCCCGAGGTACACTTAATCAGATAAAAAGACTAACCTCTTAAAGACAAACATTGTGCCTTCAACGCCTTTCTTTGTCTATGTCGGATGAATAGTAAATGTGTACATTGTTAACTAAAGCTAATCGAGCAGAATTCGCTTTGATCACTCGCTCGACTCGTTTACTATGTAAGAAATTCCATCCTACGTTGTTCCTAATGGTACCACATTCTCTAATTGTCTTCTTTTACGATATACTCCACTTTAATTGTTGCACATTCAAATCATTCCCCACCCTCTCTTCACTACAATACCAAACTCTTGTGTACATGTACATACCCAGCACTGCTGTTCGTTAGAGAATTTGTACAGCACTACGTGACTAGAGTTATCCATAATCTCTACAATATTCCTATCGTGCCTTCGTAATACCGCTAAATTAACCGTTGCCCTTGCTACATGGTCCATGATGACGGCTTCGTCTCTGGAAAACGCTAGCGAGTTCTTCGTCATATTGTACATATATATCAATACTGGTAATGTTTATTAAATATGTGCGAATTTATAGAAATTTAGAGCTAAGCCATAATAATTTCACGTGATAATCGGCACAAAGAATGAAGGGCATAGCTATGTGCAAATTTCTTTTTGTCTCATCACGACGTACGAGTTCATTCTCGTCGCGTTAAAACGATCGATACAGGGACAGGAAACGTCGCGGTAGTTTTTTGACTCATGTGACATTAAGAGTGACATCATTATAACTTTGCAAAGTGCGTGCACAAAAACTGTTGGAAAAAATTCATCACCGAAGCTAAGCCACATTGATTACACGTGACGATAGATCAAACGTAAAAAATTGAAAAAGAGTAAATATTCCTCGTAAATTAATGTCACTTTTCTTGCAGACCTCATCATGTTAAAATTCACAAGTAAAAGTCATCTCCACCGTCCAGACTTGCTGATAATCCGACAATTGCCTATTCGATATATTTTTCATAGATCGCTGTCGAACGTTGTAAAAGCAAATAATACCCAAAAGTCTGATCCGCCCCCCAAAAAGAAACCGAAAGAAAAAATCACGGCACAAAGGTTATTTAAAGATGCTCCCAAAAACCAACAAATTTTAGCTAAAAGTATCGACAAGGCTGTGCCCAAGATAATCACTCCAGACGCGCAAAAATCCAATTCGGCCAAGAAAAAAATATCTATTGAAAAAACCAAGCCAGCAGGATTAATAGTGAAAACGAATCAACAACAAAAGCCGATTCCCGCCAAAACCAAGAACGCGCCCATACCTCCAACCATTCACAGCAAAGGTATACAAAAATCCAAGCTCGAGGTGAAAAAAGCAGATGTAAAACCTGCGGTAAAACGGCAAATTAATGAATCAGGGAGCAAAACAAATTCCACTGCTCAAGATGCCGTGCCGGGTGTGCCGGGCGCGCCGGGTGCTCAAAAGCCCAAACCCAAGAAAAAAAAAGTAGATGAAAAAACTACGGTAAAATGGTTAATTAATGCGCCAGAGAACAATCAACCAAGTCCTCCTAGCAATCTTGCTCAAGAGACTCTCAAACTGACTGTTATTGACGTTCCGGAAATAGAAAGCGGACCAGCCGAATTTGAATTTGCATCATCCGAGTCACAAACAGATGTCGTGCCGTTAAAAGTTGGAGATTTAGTAGAATTTCGAAGAAATGGGAACTCTTTTATTGGCATACTCTACAAATTAAGAGGAGCTGAAGGAATTGACAAAACCTACACGCTATTGCCAAGCGGAGCAGCCGTCCCTCACCGCGACGATGATATTGCGTTCCATATTCCCGGCTTTGCCTATTTACCCCGCGGGGATAAACCGGCGCCACCAGAGGGTTCACCCATCTTTATCAGTCATGCGAGACTTGCAGGAGATTTGGAAAAGGCGGCAATATCTTTGATGCAATACAAACACCTTGAATTCAAAAAGGCATATTCTCATTTCATTCAAACATCTGGGACCACGCCAATATCTACCAAGACCATGGCTAGTCACGTGTTTAAAGAAAATGAACCACAATCTGCTCAATTGCTTGCTGCACATTTGTTTATGATGAAGCATTATATTCATTTTATAGTTGCTGATCCAAGCAAGCACCGATCAGCTGGTTACTTTAAATTACGTCCGCTCAAAAGTGTAAACGATCTCGAGGCAGCCATGCAATGGACTCGAAGTAATCAACCCCCTTTGTTATCCTTTATATCCAAAGCGCAATCAATCATCAATCAAAAACAATCAATGCAGTTGGAAGAAACAACCCACCCCACTATGAACACTTCAATCGAAAACCTACCCAAATTTACTGATGACGATAGGTTATTTATTGACATGTTGAAACAGTACACGTTGGAAGAGAAAGGCTGGCAGGATTTGTCATTGGATGTATCGGCATCAGCAATACTAAAACCATTGAAATTGTATAAAGGAATAATAGACAAGGACTGTGTCGTAACATTTCTCAGAGACATTGGTGTATGGACACCCTGGGAGAATCTAGCCGTCTACCATCCTGTGCTGAAATTACAAGGCCATGGCGTCTCAAAAGACGCTGACGCCGAACACGAACAATCTATACAACTTGCACGGAAGTTGCTTGATCTTCCGTCATTTGACTATAGCGAAAAAAAAAAGACTTTGCCAAAAGAGAATAATAGCAAGACCGGTCCGTTAATCAAGACTAGACCGGTTCTTGGAGAAGAAGAGTTTTATCCGTACGATATCTGTAGCGACATCCGTCATGATTTTGGTAATCTGCCAGTGTATACCATTGATGATCCGACAGCGCACGAAATCGATGATGGAGTATCTATAGAACGTGTTATGGACAATGGTTCGGGTTCTGCAAGCACGTGGGTACATGTTCACGTCGCAGACCCATCGGCATACATTCATCCGGCACACAAGCTAGCTCGCTTGGCTAAATCACGTGTTCAGACGGTTTATTTTCCTGAAAAAAACTATGGCATGTTGCCAGAGAGTCTGAACGAGAAGCGGTTTAGTTTAGGGACGGAAACAAAAGATGGTGGAAATAATGTGATGACGTTTAGCGTTCAAATAGACGATAATGGTAATATAATGAACTATAAGGTACAACCGGGTATCGTTAGACAGGTAAAGACATTGTACTATGACGACGTGGATTCCGTTCTGTCGTGGGACTGTATACCTGGTGGAAAAGAAGAAGCCAAATTGATACACAGTATGTGTCACTATTATCCGAACCCGGTAGCCTGGAGAAAATTAGAGGGCTCGGTTCCCGCTTGGGCTCACAAGGACCTTTTAGATCTGCAACAGGTTGCAAAATTGCATATGCAATATCGATTTAAAAATGGAAGTTTCAACTATAACGAGCCATTCGCAGAAGTAGCAATAGCACCGCGTCCATTACCATCAAATCCCAGCATAATAGAGCAGCCGACCTTTTATTCAGGTAACCCCGACATTCAGGTAACCGTTGATCGTAGCAACCACTCTCCCGCGCGAGCAATGGTGGCCGAGCTAATGATAATGGCCGGACGAGCGGCGGCACTCTTTTGCCACGAGCGTAATATTCCCATGACTTATAGGACTCAGGTTGGATCACAATCAACTATATACGAAAGCATCCTGTCGCACGTCGATCCCGTGACGGGAGTCTTGCCCGTAAAAGAAATAGCAAAGATACGACCATTCATGGGAAGCGTACAAATAACAACGGAAGCTGGACCCCATTTGAACATGGGAATAAAAGATGGCTACTGCAAAGTCACGTCACCGTTACGGCGTTATGTTGATATGTTGGCTCATTGGCAGATAAAGGCTCATCTTCTTGGAGAGACGCCTCCGTTTTCGACTCAAGATCTCAATAACCTAGCGTCATCCATAAGATCACGCGAACGGACTATCAAAACGGTCAGCTCGAGAGCAACCAAGTATTGGGTATTGTTTTTGGTTCGCCGTTTGCTCGAGCAGGGGAAATCGTTGGAATGCACAGCAGTGGTGACGGACGATATCGAGAAAGATACAAAGATCGTGTATGTAAGAGAATTTGGTGTTAATGCAAAACTTATCGAGGGAGACAAGTTGACGATTGGTGATGTTGCTAAAGTGCGACCGATTTATGTTCAGCCTCATCAATGGAGTTGGGTAGTTCTGCCGATCAAGTGAATAGAAACGTCACGAGCTTGGTAATATAGACTTTCTATTAAAAAAAACAATGACGTAAATGTATTGATTAATGAACCTAATGTCGGTTAGAAAAGAAAATGTTATTTATCTAAATCAGAGTCACATCAATATGCTGATTGACTTTTTAAAAAAAGTAAAAGTAACAACGCATATGTCCCTATACATCAATTTAACTCTTTGCCTCTTTAAATTATTTACGGTGAACGCATTCCCTCCCCCTTAATTTTGAAAGGGAAGACCTGAACGTGTTTTTTTCTGTTGTCCTACGTCCGCGATCACCTCTTACCTCCTCCATCTCAACTTTACGTCTCTCCCCTCCCATAATGTACATCTCATTTGACGTGTCAAAACGCATGTCTGTCTGACCCAAACCGTGACCAACTATCGCGAGGGAATATTATATGGTTGCTTTTTTGTGGACAAAAATATTTACTAGTGCTCGAAATCCGAACCAACGCCACGTGTCTAAACACAGTCATTATTCACATATTCCTTATAGTTGCAAGTCGGTTGTTCTTTCTGATCTCAAAGCGCTAGTCACATTAACACGTAACTATTTAGTGAATTCTTTCTAAATGCAAGTTATTAAATCAGTGACGCATAACGTAATTTAATATTTCTCCAAACTTTCCAAGGCCGATAGCCATAACATTTGACAATTCAGGCTTGGCAGTAACGTATTCTAATTCTTTAATATTTTGAAATGGTCGGATGAAATTATCTGCAAGTTTATGATGAAATAAGAGACACATTTGAGCTATATCCTAATAGCACATCGGCATAGTTAAATAATCACTCTTTGTCTCATGAAACAAGTTGGTCAGTTGTAAGGCTAAATTTATTGACGCTTAAGATAAGCTATGAAACACTCTGTACTGCATGATGACTGAAATGATGAAACACGGTTACAAACCGATCAACTGCACCCAGGCCTCTCGGCTGACGCACGACTGAATACCGACCTTCGCCGACAGTAATTCAGAGATGGATCAAACCTTCATTCAATATCATCATCATTAATAAAGCTTGTTCTAGAGGTCCACCTAGTTATGCTTAATACGCACACACGAAATCGTTAATTCACTACATTAAACGGGAATCCTCAGAATCATTGGTATAATACAAAGAACTGAACTGTTATTCCCAAAAAACTGCCCGATTTCCAACCAACTGACGCATACAAATCGACTTGCGCACGAACATGGCCCTCGAAATGAGTTCTGCTCGTTCCTACGAGTCAGATTATGAACTTTTAGATACGCCGACCCTGAATAGGGAAAGACGTGGTTTACGTTCTGTATACAGCCTTTCGCGTTTGTAAATTGTTGGTAGCCATCAAGCCCAATCATCTCTAAAAAATAGAAAAGACCCGACATACGATTCGCCGCTATTAATGTCGGCACTTTTCATATACAAGTATACGTAATGAACACACAAGGACAAACTTACCTCTCGAGCTCTAGATGAGCTATCAAAAAGAATCGTCATCTGTTAACAATGGTCGTCTAATACCTTATTATTTTGCTTTATCCAAAAGATACGCTGATATAATAGAGGAGTCATACGTATACACATCGTTTCTTTCCGATGTTTCCTTTCGCTTTTAGCCTTCATTACGGATTACACATGCTATTTACGTTCCGCCCAAGGTCTCTTCGCTCAGTTGTAAATGCTCGTACCAGGGGGGAAAATCAATGCGCTTGGGATCGATGTTTTCATCTTTTTCTTTTCAATCACTCGAGTGTCGCTGGGCTGGGTAAAGGCTCAGCACGTTTGCAAGCATACGAATCATTCTCCAGACTAACCATACGACAAACCCCTCTCAATCGAGTTATCCTCCTCCTCCTTGCGGGTACGTCATCTTCGTCACGCATTTGACATTCACATCCTCTTTGGCTTCCGATTTGGTGGTTTTTACCCCCCTCCCCCCTCCCCTCACCCCTCACCCCTCACCCTACTTACTACCCTTCATAAACACAATGATCAGGCATCTGTGATTAGCACGAGATGATTTGCAACGCCCTTTTACCAAAACGCTCTTTTTAGTGATGAATTACACGGGTTGGGGTGGTGGGGGGTGGTGATGGTGGGGAGCATTAGTAACTCCTGCTTGCTTAGCATACATTTCGTGCATCCATCCTTCAAAATATGACGATAATAATAAATGACTTTTTCTATGCAAGGTACCACCAGCAAGCTCCTCTCTCATCTTATCAAAAACCGTTTTTTTTTTGGCAGATAGACAACACAATGAGGCGTATCAGAGAACATGAGGAAACACATTCAAAGCATTGTAATGTACCGCATGTTCCAAACGTTCACCACCTGTTCAAGCATGGCAAAGTTGGTATACGTCACGTTACAAATCCATTCTTTTAGTTAAATACCTTTCCCCTGTATCGCATTCCCATCGCGCGTATAACATGTATAACATGTATAACATGTATAACATGCCCTATATATTTTTTTTAAGTTTTCACAATTTTTTGATCATCCCCTCTTTTGGTGATAGGGCGTATATCGCCATGCCCGCACATCTATATCGGTGTACCTCATATGATCATTCCAGATTTAGACTTTTGTGCATACTGCAATGTATTGTAGACATTCATTCAACACCCACACACCTTATCTTCTCATAGTCTTCCATATTAAGAAGATGGGGGAAAAAAACTTGCGAGTCGGGAAAAGTGTGGGAGAGTGTAGGAAACTCTTGTCTGGGGCGAGTAAAAAGACAAACGCATAGGGTAGACGATATAGAGAAGAAGAACGACGAGTGCTTGCTATATAGTCGAAATCTTTAGATTGATGGGCGATTGTGGCTTATCAAATCTCTAGTCAATTTGAGACAAGTACACGCATACAATTGCGAATATACTGTGTTATTGTATAATTGTGACAGTTACGCCCCCCGATTATATTACGATGTGTATGTAATAACAATGAGCCAGTTGACCTAATATATCGATTATCACGTAATAAACAGTAAGACCCCCATTGTATGTCCCATTGTGCATCCCATTGTATATCTCATTACATGCTGTCGTTTGCTATGCTGTCGTTTGCTATGCAGTCGTTTGCTATGCAGTCGTTCGCCCCTCTCTATACTCGAATTCCCAAAATTCTGTTATATCAATCCAATGCCCACAGTATTTGCAAGACGAGTTTTAGCACACAGAATACGAATAACTTTTTTTTTTCATATATTTACAAACTGTTGTACCGTTGGTATTAAGTTTGTCTTGACTACCGTTGGTAATTTTTATGTTTTATGATAAATGAATCGTATCGTCCATTTGATCTGTTTGCTTTTTTTTTTCAATTTTTCAATTCATATCCCAAAAAAAAACCTCACTTACGAAAAAGAAAAAAGTGAGGCAAAAAAAAAATCATGGTAAATAATATACTAAATCTCACTATAAAATGCGGAGATAGAAGGGTTAAAATATAATATAATATAATAACAATAACAAAGCATCGGTATCTTTTTTTGAAAAAGAAAAGTATATGTTAGTTCAATCATTCAACTGCAACTAACTAATCTCTTACAAGATACTCGAATCGCTTATACAAAAGAACTCGGATCGCTACAAATACCCTGAAATTTTTTCATGTACACACACACTCACTCACTCACACACACTCACACTCACTCACTCACTCACTAAACACACAAACAAAATACACCCAAAGCACACTGCTCTTTTTTTTTCTTTTTTCTTTTTTTGCTACCTGCCCAAAACAAAAGAAAAAGAAACCTTTTTTTTTTATAGTATATCTACTTATAATACAATTTACTTTTCAACTCCAACCATGGTAATGCACTCTCCAATGCGTCCTCCTGAAAGTTCTCCTCACACACTTCTTGACATCTCCTATAAAACTCTGTCACATTTACACATCTGCTCGCCAACACTTCGTCATATTTCACCGGATTCAGCTTCTTCAAAATATATGCAAATCGCATATCTCTCAACGTCCCAAACGCAACAGGAATCTTGTGCGCCTGTTTCAATTCTCCGACAAAGTCTTCAAACTTTAATCTTGGATGATGCCCACCCGTAGTCTTTGTAGAAGCTATTTGGCGTCGGCGCTCATTCTCCCTGGCTACTTCGGCGAGAACAATATCCACCCGTGTGTGTACTTCTTCAATTGTGGACATGTTCAACTTGGGTGCTTTTACTCTTTGCCTGTTCTGCCTGGTAGTTGTCGGAAATGACGTTGGCGGCGGTGTTGGTGTGGGAGTGGGTGCCGGACTTGGACTGTTGTGACGTCTGAGCTGATGTCCGTGATTATGAGTGTGGTGATTATGGTCATGCGAATGGTCGAGAGATGATAGCGACAGATTCGACACCGACGAACTATCGTCATCCCTGTCCATGGCTGATTCCATTCGGGCTTTTTTAGATCTGGGCGGATGTGTGAGTATTATGTCTGAGCGAAGAGACGTCAAATGTGCGGGAGGAGAGTATGATGATGATGTGAAGGATTTGGGTGTATGCATTGATGCGTTCTGTCGGTGTTCTTGAATACCATGCCAGATAGATAGACAGTTACCCCGTGAGAGTTCTGAACCGTTTTTGCTATGTAGATCCCTAAGATATTGCTCATTTTCTATTAAAAGTAAAATATCAGGGTGATCTATGTCATTATCCAGTAGAATCGGTAATATAGCGTCCAAGCGAGCCGGAGACATCGCCGGAAATGTCATTAAGAGTTTTTTAAGAGAATCTACTGAAGAGCCCATGTCACAATCCTGCAGAGATGTTAAAAAGATGAAACATTACCCGTTAGAAAGCGTGTACAAACACATATTAACAACATGTATACACGGCAGAGGTAAACATCAACATGAATATAAATTCTACATAATAAAATCTACACATTCCAAGGTCTATTCACAATGATTCGTTTCTTGTTTTCATCAATTGAGATTACCAGCATCATAAAACCTTGCTTTTCTTTTCCTTCACCTTCGTGCGCTCTTTTTCACACTTTCACCCTCGTAATTTCCCTCATTGTACTTGTCACTAACCAAGCCTTTTTAATTTTACACCAATAAATTCCAAAATCTTGACAAAACACAAAGAAAAAAGAAAAAGAATGCCAACAAAAGAAAAAGAAAAAAGGAAAAGAAAAGATGATAAAAAGAATTCCATATAAAAAAGACGACGACTTACCACACAAGTATCACACCGATTATCGTCGATGCTCATCCCATCCCCGAACTCGTCTTCTGTGTCGTATTTACCCAAAGAATTGGGCGAATCCGGAACCCGATGAGAATCCGGAGTTCTATACGAATACTGCTGCCTCCTCTTCTTTCTGTTTCTGCTGCTCTGACCACTACCCCTCCTTTCCGGTTGTTTGCCAGTCTTTTGTTGTTCGACATAGACGGTCTCTCTGTGCGTACGCTCCTGAGCACCCTGTTCCTCCTCCATTTGTATTTCTCCTCCATCCTCGGTCGTATCCATAGCAACCGTATGCGGACTATGTACTGGCGTGCTCATACCCAACGAGCCACTGCATAACCGATCGAATACAATCGTAATAGGTGGTGCAAAACCTGGTTGTGAAGTGTTCATAGTAGGAGATACGGGTTGTGCCGTCGGAGACGCGGGAGAATGTGTCGTAGTAGGAGCGGAACTTGGCGGAGTGTGCGTGAGAGCGGGGAGACTGTGAACGACACCCGAGGAGGAGGACGAAGAAGAGGAAGAGGAAGAAGACGACGACGAGGAAGAGACGTTGACAACCGGGTGGTGAAGGAGGGGAGGCAGGTGAGCCGATTGCGCATGCACCCCTATTGGTGTATTAGTGGCTGCACACGGGTGAGGATGGATGGACGACGACGACTTGCGGTGGTGTGGGTTATGTAATAGACTTCCATCGTTGTCCTCCATTTTCACTCGTTAATTTTTTTTTTTGGCTCCTTTTCGCTTTATTATTTTATTCTTTTCACAAAATAAAAAGAAAAAAGAAGAGACGACGGCGGGGAGTTGGGGAGGCAAGTATTAAAGAAAAAAGGTGAGAGAGGAAAAAATAGGCCCAGCTAGAAAATTTTAGGCCTTACACACGCAAGACAGGGAACGACAGAAGGATGTGCCTTCCTTTTGGTTTGAATGGGTTGGGTATTATTTGCCTTGTGTTTCCGTAAAAATCAAATGACGGCGTAAGAATTTTTTTGTAGTTTAAATATAAAAATAAGTGAATCAGAAATTGTAAGCAAAACGGTGCTAAGACTTTTATGGTATGTTTCCGAGCCGTATATGGTGCGTCGCTATTGACTTCAAACGAGTTGACGCCCCAATAATACGTAATACGTAACATACAGACTATGAAACAATGTTAATTCCCACCCATTCGTGATTTGCTACGCCACTGAGAAAGTTGGTCGACTTTCTACGAGTTTGATGGTAATAGTGATAATGTGATCTGCTCGTTTAGGATGTATTGAGTTGGTCATTATCCAATAAAAATCAATGTACGACATGACAAAAATAAGCCACCGGCCAATGACATAACGGTTTATTTGACAGTCGCAAAAAAGAAAAAAAATATACGAATTGTATATATTCTTTATTATATCATTTTCAGTCGATCTTGACCAATCATCTCTACACAAACTAACCAGTTCACCACCTGTTTGTTTCGTTACCGGTGACGGTGGTGAATTTTTTTTTTTCCATCGGTTAAACCTGATCGAACGCTACTAAATAATTTTTATTGTGGCTGCGATATGTAGATATGTAGAAATCTAGATGCAAGCAGCAGCAGCAGATGTCAAAAGATCACGCGTAATTAGTTGCACCGTGGGGAAAGAAAATGTCTGCCGATTAACTATCTCGAGTCGAGATGTGTTGTACGAGTTTGGTTGGCAGGGAGTTGCATAATGCTGTGTTGAGGAATTGAACAGCGAAAAGATGTGGGCGGAAGTGCGACAATGTGAGTGGGTGTGCGAATGCGGGTTTTGTTGGTTTGTTGATGGTTTTTTCGCATTAAAGTAAACAAAAAAATTTTGTGTCTGGTGAGAGACAAGAGACAGTGAGAGAATGAGACAGTGAGTGAGAGAGAGAAAGAGTGAGTGAGTGAGAGGAAAAGAGGGTGAGAATGTGTGGGCAGCAGGGCAGAGATGTCGAGAATTGAGAATTTACGGATTAAATTACCCAGATTGCTTTGAACTTGTGGCAGGTACTTTTTTTTTCTCTTTTGTTCTTACTCTTTGTTCTATTCAACATGGTGGACTATGCATTAAATCTCGTGATCATATGCGTATCAATCATTAAATATCTCACTTTAGAATAGTACAGGCGCTGCATAAACAATAAACACATTTCTCCTTCCATTTTTTGTAAAGTCAGAATTGATAAGAACTGTAGACTTGTTACTTGCTCTTGATATCAAAGAGATAACTCTATCTCTCTTATCTATTCGCTTATCTATCCTTTAATCTCGCTCTCGCCGCCCCCTCCCCTTCCTCTCCTTCTCCTTCCCTCCATCTTGCCCGATATATGTATATCAAAGTATTATAATCATTTTGATCACGGGAACGGAAATCCCAATAAAAAGGTAAGATCCCAATTAGCCTGGCATTATTTCATATATTATTCAAATGTCATTCAATGACGTTGTTACAAACTGTGCATAAATATGATAATGATGCGGGTGCCAGGAGTCGTGCAATGTATCAATAATAAAAAGGAAAGCCATTATTAAAATAATGATTATTAGTTGCTTGTTTCATAGGCGAATAGAATATATGTCTTTGTTTCTATTGCTTTTTGATTAACTACTCTATGATCATAATAAATGATCTTTTTTTTTTTGTTCTTCTCTCTATGAGGAAATGCTAATATGTACAAAAACTAACAACGACCAAAAAAAAAAAAGGAGTGGGGGGGAGAGGAGGGAAGAGGAAGGAAGAGGAAGGAAGAGGAGGGAAGACGAAAGCGGATACATGGAAAGGCTAAAAGGATAAAGGGAAAGAAAAGGAAAGGAAAAGGAAAAGGATAAAGGAAGAGGGAAAGGAAGAGGGAGAGGAAGAGGGAAAGGGAAAAGGGTACTAAATATAAAATGTATATAATATATAGTAATAAAGAAATAATAATTTTTGTAAAAAAAAAAACCGTACAACTTTTTCTAAAAACTACCAAACCCCGTATCTTTTTTTTTGTTTGCTTTTTTACTTTTACCAAATTTGTCTAATTAATTAGGCGAAATAATTTTAAAAAATCAAAACTTTTATACACTTAATTCCTATTTACTTTTTGTTATGTTTTCCTGACACCTTAATATGATAAGGACTCCTAATCAACATTTTCCTCATGTAACATAATATCATCGCAAATAATACTGGCTCGATATCTGCTGACCAGCGTTCCTCTGCAACACATACGACATACTGCCAGACTTGAACGGTAGAGACGCTCGACTATTACTATGGTCAAAACATCCACCGCCATTTGCGCTTCCGTTGCAATATTCACTTGGCGATCGCAGGCGTTGATAGTCTTTGGAAAGTTCTGTGGTTATTGGTGGGAGAATTATGTTCTCGGGTGGAATCACATTGTGATTGACATTATGTTGGTTGATGTTATGACTGATGCTGTGACTGATGCTGTGACTAATGTTATGACTTGTGTTATGACTGATGTTATGACTGATACTGTGGTTGATATTGTGGTTGACATTGTGGTTGACATTGTGGTTGACATTGTGGTTGACATTGTGGTTAATGCCATTGACATTGTGGTTGATGCCGGGCTTGTTCCCATTAGCATTCCCAACAGACGCCGCTAGAGTAGGCGAAGAAGGAACAGAATGCGAAAGAGATTCCAGTTTTAGATTTGGTTTCATGTCGAGCGGTATCCTCTTATCAAGAGATAACAGATTAGATGGTGGAGGTAGAATCAACGGACTTGTTGGCTCAGCAGTCAAGTCTGTGCTCGATATGGACGGTAATGTCACGGCGGGTGGGTGTGATTTTGGCGATGATGATGGTACTGAACATGCTGAAGGTGTATGACTTTGTAATAATGTCTGATGTCTGCCTATTACGGGGGCTTGGCCTGAAGGAGAAGAAGACAAAGAAGACGTCGTAGATGAGGCTACTAGCGGTTGTGGAGGAACACTTGTCGGAATTGTATTCGACAGGGTTGAACTTGGTGTGTGCGTCTTTAGAGAACTCAATTCGATTTTAATTGCATCGTTTTCGTTTTGTAGTTCCTACAAAAATGTGTTACGGGACCGAGATGGGGAAGAGAAGGGGCATTGATTGTTAGCTACCGTTATTTGTACCGTTGACGGTGAGGCGCAGCATGTCGAAAAACGGAGTGACAATGAAGCAACGCTTCAGCATAATATAATAGGAAATATACAGTTATAATGGTATGATATAATCATATTGTATATAAAGTATTGTTCTGAAAAGCCCTATTGATTATATTATTTATGAATGTCATATGCAAGTATACGCTATTAAGGTTCAAATCTAAATATGCTGACAGATGCAAAAGTCATCCGATGAAACAATTAAATTTCTCCACCCAGCCTCATAAACACACACACACACACATACACACACATATACACATACACATATACATACACATACACATACACATACACATACACATACACATACACATACACACACACATACCTTGATATATTCGACAGCTCTTCGCAGGATGCTCCCCTTATTAGGCTTTGACCCGGAGCGATAGGCCAGGGGCATGAGTCGGGAAATCTCATAGATTGTATTGTTGATATTATTCCGTCTCTTTCTCTCTACGTTGTTGTGGTTTTCCCTCCTGCGTTTGAGACGTTCCATTGCCGTCTATTTGGGAATTCCCGTAGACATGGGATAAAGAAAAATAGGGGAGTGGTGAGATTAGAAAGAAAAACGGGGGGAGTGACGAAAAAAAAATAGAGAAGGAACAACAGGAATAGCCATGAGCAATAGAATGCACATAATAAGAAATGACAATGAGACAAGTGGCGCATCTCCCCTTTCTTAAGACGTACCTGCATATCCAGACTATTTCTATATTTGATAACAATGTCAATGATAATAAATAAGGAAGGAAGAATAAGACATAATCAGTAAATGATGTAAGGTCTTTCAAATCATCATTATTTTGGGGAGGATTTGTGAGTAGCGGCGACCCAGCCAAATTCTACAATCCGCCCCCATGCATATTACGATTTCAAATAACGTCGTATTTTATATAACAAACATAACCCATACTAAATCCCTTTTGCCTGCCCCTCCCCCTCCCCCTCCCCTCGCTCCTTTTGCTCCATCGTTGCTTTTGCTCTATCGCTCCTTTTGCCCATCTCATCTCTCTAATCCCCAGCATACCTGTTGAGAATGTTGACTCCATTGACTCTGTAAGTAACCTGCTTCTTATCCTTGGTCTTTTTCCTGGTAACATGCTGCGTAGCAAGGTCCGAAGTAAAGTTCAAAAATAATGGCTGATTGTTTGGTAATTGCTCGCCATGTCCAAACTGACGCTCGATGACCATGTCATCGTCACTCTCGAAATCTCGGTCATCCTCGTCATCGGTTTCCTGTGAAATATCACGTGACGTACTAGTAGAAGATGAACAAGAATAATCGATTCCGTCGATTCCGTCTCGATCAATGTCTCCTGCATGTCTCCCTACGCTCCTGATTTCGATCATGCTGCTATGGATACCAATTTTCCCAGCGTTGAGATACATTTGCAGGTGATCGCGTTTGACGTTTGGAAAAAACTTGTCACTGCCATCGGGCATGTGGACTCTGACATGCGAGTTTTGATTGTATGTGTTTGGTTGCCATTCAGCTATAGTTCCGCCCTGTGAGATACAATCCGGTAAGCTAGAATGGGGATTACTCGTGTGTATGGTCAAGCTTTCTGATGCTGTTGTTGGTCGTACGGGCATTGTTGGATGTAGAAAGTTGGAGCAAAGACTCGTTGGAAAAAAATAAAGTGTTTGATAACGCACGTGATCAGGTATATATAATATGTAAGGGAAAAGAGAGAGTTTCCGATCGAGATCTCACAATGGTGTATTGGCGCGTATCCGGCAAGTGCGTATGGATGAGTCGACGAGGCCGAGTTTATCGTTATATCCCCGTTTAGTCTGTGATTTTAAGGGTTAGGGGAAAATAAGAGTGTTTGAAAAAAAGGAGAGAGAGAGAGAAAAGGAGGTTATATAAGTGTGAATGCGTAGTGATAAAAATAAATCATATGCATCTCTTGTATTATTGATTTAGGTTGTGTTGGTGCGCTAAGTATTGATTGATATGATAAGATTTCTCTTTTCGTTTCTGATCAATGGTCTATTTAAACTAAGCGTTTATTTATAATGATAGGTATGCCCCGCTCGCCTGTCTACCAGACTGCCTGTCCCAACTTGTCTGTTTGGACTGACTGACCAGCTCTGACTGATTGACCGACCGACAGACCTACCGACCGAGTGACTAACTGTTTGTTGCATATATCCTACACTCCCCTCTCCCGCTCTTTTTTTTATTGCAACACCTTTTCTCTCCCTTTCCTTGTCGCTTTCCCTCTTCCCCAACCTCACCAATTTCTAAAACTTTGTTTCCTTACGTCAATCAAACTATAATTAATACTAGTCATAAGCGTATGCACCTTGAAGTATAGACCAAACGGATGAAAAGCAGAGTAAAGCAAGCGTTTAATAGGATGGGATGATGGAGTGTGTGTATGTGCGTATATATCACTAATGGCAACGGGTTAGAAAAGATGTATTATTCTATAGACATATACATTGCAACCCTGGTGCTTTTTTGTCAGAAAGAGTCGACACAAAGACAAGAGTCCAAGTCGAGAACGAAATACAGGTACGTGTGATCATCAAAGATTATATTTAAACGCAATCACGCGAGGACAATGAATTTTAATTAATTAGGTACGGGTTTAAAACGTCAAATAAATTAATAAATATACGAGTCAGTATAAAGTAGGAGTATATATAAGTCAATAGAATAACTTTTTTTTTTTACCTCGGTCGGTGATCAGATTACAATGTGTAATATGAAATATTGTCAAATCGATCCGATAATATATGAGCATATATGATGGATGGGTTTTTGGGATATTAATGATATGATGTGTGGTCTTTTTTACTCTAGTTTAATTATACAGGATAACAGTATTTATACACAAGTTTGTATGGTCTAGATTATGTAATTCACAATCACAATTTGTATAAATTGATATTATTAAATGTTATCATTTAATCATAGGTTTGTAACGTATAAAATTTATTTTAAGTTAAAGTGTACAAACTTCATGCTCTTTTTTCATGAGATTTTTGGGAAAGGCGCTCCGTTGTGCAGTCGTGTAGCCTTTAAAGAACCTTACAATTCCATTATTCAACTATTTGTTTGTCCCGCAGCAGTCAACAGCAAAACAAAGGTCAGGGGGCAGTGGAGTTCCCAATGTCAAAGAGAAAGGGCTAAGCGACAAGCATGTGCTAATTGAGCGTTTGTTTGTGTCTTCCGCCTGATCCGGAATACAATATTATGTTATGCGACGTACGGTTAGTACTGATAACTATCAACACTACAATAATAGTAAATATAATGAATCGCTGTGTATGGGATGTGTATGGGATGTGTATGAGTTGTGTATGAGTTGTGTATGGGTCTTGTATGGGTTGTTGTGTATCATCTGCGTATGTGTGTATCAATCTGTTGTATGTGTATATTCATTCTAATATCTATCTATAGTATAACTGTATGTATGTATGTATGGGATATGGTATGATATATACATATATACTGTATCTAGTATCAGTACTATTATTATAGTATGTATGTGTTGTGTCAGTGTTTATCCAAATATCAATATCAATCATCATCATAATCATCATCATCAAAATATCAGTAATCAAACATGTTACCTTATTCCTTATATTGGCTTGTTCGTATCATCATCACAA